CCGAGACAAAGAAAGAGAGAACCAAAACCTCCTCCTGGGGTGAGGAAAGCACTCTTCAGTTCAGCGGCCAGTGTCCCCACGGGGCTTCCAGTTCCTGTCCTCACGGCCACGGCGTGCAGCGCAGGCAGAGGGAGGCGCGCCCACACGCGGACAGACGGCCTTCCCTGGCAGGGCCAAGGCAGCTGCCGGGGAGAGCCCAGCACCTTCCGGAAGGAGGCGACTCCTCGGTCTGTCACCACCAGGCTGCCCAGTGACCACCCCGCCCTGAGCTGATTTAAAAACCCCAAGGGATGGGGACCAGTAGTTAGCGTAATGACTATGTCACTGGATTCCCACGTAGTCGACCGCGGTTCGCGTCCCAGACCGGTGGCTTAAAACTCACGCCGGGTGCGTGTGCGTGCGTGCCCAAGATCCCGAGAGGAGAATGGAGGAGAAGGGATTGCGGTGTGACCATCCCCCATGGGGGGTGATTTCTCACTTTCTGTCTCTCTGTCTCTGTCTGTCTGTCTGGTGAGCGCACGCGCCCTATAGCGAAAACCTCTCCAAAAAAAAAAAACAAAACAACCCAAGGGCGATAACGACCAGGGACCTCTGCTCTCCAGGCACAAGCTCTGCACGGCCAGGACTGCGTATGGGGCTTTGTCATCGCAATTCGGGGTGTGCATCACCTGCGCGGCTCCCAGACACAATGCGGGGTCCACAGAGGCAGAGCCCTTGCTACACTGAGCATCGTGCTCACCCTCCGCATCGTCCTCAGGAGGACGATGCAGCCTCGGTCAGATCGGCACCGCCACCATCGCAGACCCCGTCCGCCCTGCTGGCCTGGGCGGGCACCAGACTCGCTCTCTGCGAGAAGACCCCTGGTCCCAGGGACAGAGATGCCATCTGAATACACATGCCCACTTGGCGTTCCGGACCCGAGAATGGGGTCTGCCTCTGGACAGTGGCAGAGCCCCTGGCCTGGGAGGAACACCTTCGCAGAGGGCCTGCGGCTGGGCTGTGTACCCTTCGCTGACCTGCCCAGGGCTCTGCACTGAAACTGCTCGCCAGGCTATGGGGTATGCACAGACCACCAGCTTCCCGGGGGATGCCCATGAGGTACAGGACCCAGAAAGTGTCAGCTCCCAGCTCTATGGAAGGGGCCAGGGCTCCGGGCAGAGCGAGGCCCGGGCAGAGGGAGGCTCCGGGCAGAGCAGGCCCCATGAGCTCACTGGCTTGGAGGTGGGAGGCCCCAGGAGGTGGTGCACTCAGCGGGGAGGGCCAGGTCCAGGAGCACAGGAGGAAGGGGGGTGCCCAGTAGGAAGCGCCTTGGTGAAGGCGAGGTTTTCCCCGGAACACTCCGCAGACATGCCCTGGAGGCTGTAAGCCCTGCAGGAGCCACATCACCGTGACGTGGTGCAACAGTACCGTGGAGCTGGCGCTGTCCCTGGCGGGCCTCTTGTCTGTACACTGTGGCGGGGCACCCGGTACCTCCCGCACGGCCTCGCACACGAAGAGTCGGGGCTCGCCCCGATCCCAGCAGTGGCTCACGGGCACACGGCCCACCAGCCTTTCCTCCGCCAAGACGAGGCTCCTGGAAGAGAGGGTGTGGTGCCACCATTGGGCAGGGCTCCGGCTGCCTCCGTCTGGCCAAGCGGGCTCCTGCTGGTCACAGTGAGGCCCCGACTAGGTGGGGCTCAGTGCCCACAGGACCTTTGCCCCCCACTGTCGAGCACCCGTGGGGCCCACTCGGGACGCAGGTCACAGCCAGCTGGAGGGTGAAGGACATGGTGCTCAGACCCAGGTCCTGGGTGGGTCCTGGGCTCCGGTGGCAGCCCTGCCTTTCCAAGGCTGGAGGCAGGCCCCACGGTGGGAGGCACGCCTGCTGATGGCATGGACGCCACCACCTGGTGCGTCAGGACCTGGGTGTGTCGTGCCCCCTTCTCTACACCTCCCACGTTTCATGGGCCCAGGACCCCATGAGCACGAGACAAGCTGAGCCGCGGGCAGAGTGGCTAAGACCCCCCATGGGCAGGTGCCTGGGGGAGGACGACGGTGGCCTTGCCTGCTGTCCTAGGGCAGCACAGCCCTCCTGGGGCTCCCTGACCACGGTGGCCATGTGGGGCAAGGCCTAGTCCTGGCAGGGGACACCAGGGGCTCCCAGGCTGGCGGTGGGCTCGCGGGGAGGTGCTCACTGAGAGCCTCACCCCAGGCACAAGGTGGCCCCTTGGAAGTCAGGCTGGCCTGGCAGGGGACACAGACAGGTGGAGAAGGGCAGCGAGTTAGGGTAGGGTGGGTTACCAGGTGTCGGACCTAGAAGCCCAGGCGGAGGCGCCCCTGAGAACCAGACCCTGGGAAACGGGGCCGCAGCTGCCACAGTCCTGGTGACCATTGCAGCTGGACAGCGGCGCTGAGGAGGTGAGGCGCTGCAAGGAAAGCCCTGGGGGAAAGAACGTTCCGGAAAGGATCAGCGGAGGAAGGGGTGTGGCAGAGGGAGGTGGGGGAGTCCAGGAAGGGGTTGGTTGAGAGGCAGGCAGTGAGGAAAGCGAGAGCGGGTGGCGGAGGAACAGGCCCGAGCCAGCACTAGCTGCTCCCTCGCTTCGTGGGCTGCGGGTAAGGCTGGCCTCCCTGCCCCATGTCCGCCCTGCTGCAGCGTCCCTCCGAAGGCCGCTCACCGTGCGCTGGGCTCTGATCCGCGGGCAGCGTGAGCCCTGACAGCCCTCTGACCACGCCTCGGGAGCAGAGGTCAGCGCGTGGGCGCTCGGATGGCCCTACTGCGTGTCACAGCTGCACGTCGGCTTTTCTGGACAGTGCTCTCTACAGGGACACGTGCCTTCGTGCCGGCAGAGAGGTGGGCACAGCTGCTCTGACGACAGCCCTCCCAGATCGCCATGTCCCTGCCCAACTAACTGCAGAGCAGTGCCGGGATGCAGGCCCACCCCCGCTGCCCCTGCTGCCCTGGCGCCGTGACGGCTAACGCAGAGGGGCTGCCTACACACGGAAGTGCTGAGCACCGCTCCCCAAAGCCCCCGAACCGCCACCTCACCTATCGGCCTCCTGCCCACTGAGAGACAGGGCCTCTCCCTGGTCAACGTGCCCCGTCTGGAGGTCCAGGACAGCTGCTGTGTCCGTTTCAACGTCATAGATGCAGACTCTGGAATCGGGGCTATCATCGGCCTAGAGGAGAGAGAAGGTACCAGGAGGGTCAGTGGTCGCAGACGCTGCCGGGGCCACTCGGCACATGTGGGGGCCCCTCTGGGAGGGAGATCCGGACGCCATGCTCCTCTGTGGGCCCTTCCTGGTCCTGCCATGCCCAGCCAGCACGGGTCCTGAACCTGCAAGTCCACAGCCTGGGACCCTCCCACCGTGCCGGTCTCTGCCCTGGCCTCCCCAGGAGGCCTCCCTGCCCCCCAAGGCTCTCCTTCCCAGCTCTCACCGGTTCAGGGGCTCACCAAGCACTGGCACCACCTCAGCTGCCTGGCTGAGCTTGTGCCATGGCAGCGCCACTGCAGGGCAGTGGGCACTCATCCCACACGGGAGAGCGTGAGCGAAGGCCACCAGCCCACCCGCTGCTTCCTTCCACACCCTCCCGGGGTCTCCCCAGCCCCCTCCACATTTCTCTACGCAAGGTGCTAAAGGCAACCCTTTGGCAGGCCTCGCTCCCCTGTCCTGCCAAAAGGCACTTAGTAGGTAGTGAAGGAAAAAGCCAGAAAGCGGGGAGGGCCTGCTCGAAGGAACCATTTCCGAGGACATGAGACACCAGGCGGGAAGAGCTGAGGGCAAGGCACGGCTGGACTAGCAGGGAGGTCCAAGGACGAGGCGGGAGACGTAGGACAGGGACAGAGGAAGGAGGCTGATGGAGGGGTGGGGTGTGGGGACCGCACTGCAGGGCAGGGGAGTGGCAGGGCTGCACTGCCCACGCTGAGGGCAGAAACCACCTAAACGGGTACAGAAAGTAGCAAACATCCTGGCACTGAAAAGCGTACGGGCTCGGCGGTGGTCATGCTGGATACGGGAAGGTTCCCGGCTCAAGTCGCAGCCCTCCCTGTGCACGCAAGGCCCGGGGCTGCCCGTGCCGGGAGGAGCTGGGGGACTGCTGTGTCAGGACCCTGCCGGGTGCTGCCTCTCTGTCTCGTTTGTGGGAGAAATGGGTAAAACTTAACACAAGGGGGCAGCAGGTGGTGTAGCACGTCACTGCACTCCCACACGGCCACCTGTGCTCGAGACTCACGCCAGGCATATGCGTGTGTGCCCATGATCCCGGAAGGAGAGTGACGGGACTGTGGGGTGGCATCTCCCCGGGGTGATTTCTCACCTTCCCTCTCACTGCTTCTGTCCGGGGAAAGTGCATGCACCCTAAGGAAAAACCTGTTTTTCAAAAATTTATTATCATCATAATCTTGTTTATATTATATTAAGTCACATACAACTTTACATTATATTACATTTCTTTGTATTTATTTATTTATTTTTTTTTTGAGAAGTTTTTGCTATAGGGCGCATGCACTCGCCAGAAAGACAGAGACAGAGAGACAGAAAGCGAGAAATCACCCCCCCGGGGGGATGGTCATGCCACATTCCCTTCTCCTCCATTCTCCTCCCGGGATCTTGGGCACACACGCACACGTGCCCGGTGTGAGTTTAAGCCACTGGGTCTGGGACGCGAACCCTGGTCGACTACATGGGAGTCCAGCGACATAGCCATTACGCTAACTGCTGGTCCCAAGGCAAAAACCTCTTAAAACAAAACCTTACAAAAACTGAGGGCGATTTCGCTGCAAGAACAGGAGGCCCAGAGGCCGTGGTGTGAACGCGTTCCCTGTAGGCCCGCCGGCTTGAACAGGCAGCAGGACCCGCCATGCACGCGCCGCCCCACCACGCATGCACCTTGCTGAGGAGGATGCTGATCTTGTTCCCACTGGCGTTGCACCTGAGAGACGTGAGGCCACCCCCGCCGGGGACCAGCTCGGCCAGGTTCTTGCAGCTGCAGTGCACCTTCGCCTCTCTGCAGGGAGGAAGAGAAGGAAGGGCCAGTGCACACCTCCCCAAGCTGACTGTCCTCTATCCCTCTTGGCAGGGCAGAGCCAGGACTCCTTCTGGGCACCCTGAGGCCTCTGTTCACAGGGCGTCAGCTGCTTCTCTGCTTCTCAGCCTGGACTTCCTACGCAGGCCATGCAGCCCTACATGGCCGGGCTCAGGATGCTGAGTCCCCTGGCTCACACTCATTTACAATTTGCTAGCTGGAGACAGAGAGCAGAGGGAGGGAGAGAGGGAGGGAGAGAGGGAGGGAGTGGGAAAGAGAGCGAGAGCGAGAGAGGGGGAGGGAGGGAGTGGGGGGAGAGCAAGAGAGAGTGGCGGGTCTGCCCTCCAGGGTGCTGGGCATGTATGCGCACGTATGCGCACGCCCCTGGGGTGCTTCTCAAGCTGCAGGGTCTAGGACTTGAACAGTGCACGCAGCCTTCTAGGATCCAGCCACCTTAACCTCCACACCACCAGCTAGCTGACCCACATGGTGAGCTTTTAAAGCCCGTATATCTTTAGGGACAGATGTGGACGTGTGTGCTTAGTTCTCTTTTCTTTTTCATTGTTAAGATTTTTTTCCCCATAAGGCATGTGTGCTCACTGGAGAGACAGAGAGAGAGAAAGTGAGAAATCACCCCCAGGAAGAATGACTGTACCATAATCCCTTCTCCACTCTCCTCCTGGGGTTTTGGGCATGAAGACATGGCTGGGCCCAGGACTCAAACAGGTGTGGGAGTGCGGCATCTTACCCAGCGTGCTGCCTGCCGGCCTCAGCCTTCCTCTCGTTACGCAGGGAGCCACTTCCTAACACTGCGATGGGAGGCCAGCGGCACGCCGGCTAAGGCAGTGGGACCACACGTGGGCAACTGCGGAGCTCAGGTCCCAGCCCCACTGACGTGGACAGGCCAGGCTCCTTGCACACTTCCCTCATCTCCAGGGGAGGGAGGAATGGGAGAAGGGACTGCAGTGGGACCGTTCCCCGGGGCAGCACTCTCTCTCTCTCCGTCTCTCTCTGGTGAGCACAAGTGCCCTTCAGCAACAGCAACAAGTCATCCCACCAGGCACGGGTGCACGTGGGAAAGTCCCGCAGGTGGGGGCCACACCCAGAGGGCTCCTCCTGTCACCACAGCTCTGCCCCTCGGTGCATGCAGAACGGGCTGCTCGGCACCACCTAGGCCCCTGGCTGCACATGGACCCGCCGAGGCCGTATCTGGCCCTGCCAGGCTGCAGGGGCAGCCCGGCGGGGGGCC